TTATGAAATTATTATAGATAGAAAATTTTTTTACACACGTACAACATATACAAACATAAGATAAAATAATTATAATTAGAGATGTCAATATTATGTTCACAATTATAAATGCCAATATTTTGGGCTACATTTGAATCTTTGTTTTTGTTTTTGTTAATAAAAAATAAAAGGAAAATCTACCTACAAAAAAAAAAAAAAAAGTCGTTAGAGATCTGGGATGATAAATTACTTTGATCATGGGAGCGTGATACTTGTCAGAATCAGTTAGCACGCGGTGGCCTTAATTACCCCGCACTTGGTTGTTACATAACCTTAATTACCCCGAACTTGGTTGTTACATTTCTTAGATCATTTCCAACTGTAAATTAAAAAATTTATTCCTTTCGTTTCTAAATAATAAATTTTTTTTAATAATATAATTATTATATTTTAAAATTATTAAAATTTTAAAATTACCTTTTGTTAGTATATTTTTTTAGAAATATCAATTGTCATAATTATACTTCGTGTTATTAATGAATTTAAAAGAAGAACAAAATAATAAATTCATATTATTTTATTTCTTAATTTTTGAAAAAGTACTAATATTTTGAGACAATGAAAAATGAACTAAGGAACTAATATTTTGAGACAGAGGGAGTATTAAATTTAAATGAAATTTTGATAAAAAAAAATTTTATTTGATATCATTCACTTCAATGTTAAAATTAAAAGTTTTATTAGATTTTTCATATTTTCAGTTGTCCGGGAGAATGTCCAAACGGATATCCTAAAAGTCATCCGGACATGAACAAAAAAATTATCAAAATTGCTCTTGGTAGACATTTGGGATGATGTCCGACCCAACAGTAAATTTAATGAAAAATGAAAGGTTCCCTTCATTTGATGAAAGTTTTAGTTTTGCCTCTATTTGATATGATTTTGGTAAAAGGATTGGAGTGCCTCATTTGGCACTTTTCATCAAATTTGATGAAATATCTGATGTTAGATTGGAGATGTTCTAACTCACGAGTAAAAATTTAATGTAAAAGTGATATTACATCATCGGTGATACATGGTATCATTAATTAATAAAATGTCTATAGGAGAGAGATGATCTTTTTTTAGGATACCATATATACTTAAGAGAAAAAATAATTAGATGATGATATCGTATCATTGGTTATTGATTATTGATCATTGATATATATTCAAAAAACAAAATTCTGACTAACCCCTCGTGTAACAAATTATTTGTCTTTAACTCCCGAAAAGGTGAATAATTTTTTTCGTTTAATTGATTGTATTTTGAAATTATATTATCATCAAAATATAGGATTAATTATATTAAAATTCCTTAATTATTAGTTAATATAATCTTATTCACAAATTTGTACATTTTGACTTTTTCAACTATTAAAGGAAAATTCGTATAAATTCTCTCTTCTAGATAAGTAAAAGTAATATATTTTTATAATTGAGAGATTAAAATGTGTGAATTTATTAAAAATAAATAAGATGATATTCTCTAATAATTTTGTAGTCTTGGGCCAATTGTTAATAAATTGCCATATCTGGAACACCTGCTTCGTCGACATCATAGTTTCGAGGGCTGTCTATGTTTGGGAAGCAAATGGGCTTGGCCCACCCATGTGCTCCATCTTCAAACCAGGCTTCACCGCTTAGTTTTGCTAGGCAAGAATAACTTAAAAAAACCTCATTTTCTCTCTCCTCTCATCTCACCAAATATAGTATCAAAATAATTAAATTTTAATTGAGAGAGAAATTGAAAAAAAATAGGAAGAGAAGAACCAATTGTAACAGTCTACCATTATCATTTTCCATCTAAATAAAAAAATTATAAATTTTTCAAACTATTTTATCTTTAGTAATTGTTTTTTAAAATTTGAATCAAAAAAATATCCAATCCGTCTATTGTAGAGGAATCTAAAAGTAAAAAAAAACAAAAAATTTAAAAATTTTACTTAAAAAAAAAAATCCCAAAAAGACAACTATTTTTGTAGAATTATGCCATTAAACCACTGATTTGTAGAATTAATAATAAACCCCTATTTCCATTAAACCATATTCCCCTATGAATCAAGTGAAATTCCCATGGCCCATGCTTTTGTAGAATTATGCCATTAGAAGCAAAATCATAACATAGTTTGAAGCATTGAAATAATGAATTAGAAAGATCGAACAGGTTAACTTTGTTGATGAGCCATTCTTTCACCATCTATAATGTTTGAATATAAGTTTTATGATTACGATTGCAGCTTTCTTTCTCATACTCCCTTTCAATTGATTGTAAAAAGAAAAAAGAAAAAATAATAATGGATCAAACAAATTGTTGAATCATCAAATACTGTCAATTGTGTAAAAAAACTTGTGTTAAAAACTAGATTACGGTATGAATTGGGCAAATGTCGAGCTTTGGGTAGTAATTTTCAGGCCACATTAAGACATTAAGGGGTTATTTAGAATGATGTACATAAATATATATTTTTATTATTTTATGAAAAGATGTACAAAAAAATAATAAAATAATATGACTTAAATGGACTTATTTAATTTATGTCAAATAGTGCCTAATCGGTGCATATGGCATTATTCAAATAGTATCTAATTGTCACAAATTTTTTTCAACATTAATTAAATTGGCCAACTAGAAAGCAATATTAATTTCTCAACCTCCTACTGGTCTTCTCCATTTAATGAGAATCAAAGACCCCTGAGTTTTTTTTTTTTGTTTTTTTTTGTTTTTTTGTTGTTGTTATACTTCGCTCGTAACATAATTTAAGAGGTCCATAGGTCCCAACACGGTATCATTTCGATAATTTGAATTGTTTAATTTATAAGACGCACCATGAATATTACTCATGAAAAAATTTGGAGCGATTTAATAATCGTAACCTTTCATTTTATCGCATTTGTCTCTAAAAAAATAAATAGTCTATTTCAAATACATATTGGTCATTTATTTTGTTAGAGACGAATGCGATAAAATGAAAATGTTACGATTATAGGATCGGTTTAAATTTGTTCATAGATAATATACATTGCGAGCCCTACAAAATGAATAATTCGGATTATCAAAACGAGACCCGTGCTGAGCCCCTCAAATTTTGTCATGTTGAGATCCCAACATAAGAGAACCCTAACTTTTCTTTTCTTTTTTGAAGAGGACTCCCTCTGGTCCAAAATCTAAATTAGAGGGTGTTATTTGGGCCCGTGGAGCCCACCACAAGCCATGTTTTGATAATCCGAACCGTTTATTTTGTTAGGCACCTCATGCACTTTTAAAAAAAAATAGGTCGATCCGATAACTATAACTTGTTCAATTTACCGTGTTTTTTACTACAAAAATAAACGATAATTATGTTTCCAAAACATGAACCATATTATGGAAAAAATAATAAATTGAACAAATTACAATTATCATATTAACCTAAATTTTCTTTATTTTTTTATGAAATATACGAAGTGTCCGATAAAATTAACTGTTCGGATCATCAAAATAGGACTTGTAGTAGGCCCTACGAACCCAAACAGCCCCTCTAATTTTCAGATCTTAGACCGGAGGGAATCCTCTCTTAAAATGCTAGAGATCTCAAAATTTCTATCGAAATTTCTACCAAATGTCTCACACTTTTTCTTTTTTCTTTTTTTCTCTTATTTGAAAAAAAATATAAATCCCACAAAATGTAGTCACTAAAGAATGAATCCTGATCGTTATTAGCTAATCTAACTTTATTAGCTCATATATACACTACAAAAAAAAATGTGTTTGGTTGTGATTTCAAATCACAATTCCACACCCTAATTCAAACATGATGTTTGGTTGTGATTCTCAAATGATGTTTTGAGAACTCTGCACAGAACACCTGCGTTGTTCTGTTTTTGACAGATGCATTTTTCCTTTTGTTGGGGAAAATTTTGCTTGGCGGGACGTCTGTCCGGTTGACCGGTTGACCGGCCGACTGTCCGGAACAGTAATTTATTTTTATTTTTTTTTGCAATTGATTTATATAATCGAAAAAAATATTTTCTGAAATTTTTAAAATTTTTTATGTGCTTTAAAATAATTTTGAGTTGTATGTTTAGTTATGAGTTGTAGATTTCTATCACATATCAAATGTCACATCAATAATTTCACACTCAAATCAAAACTATTTTCAAAACTCTTTACCAACAAATTTTCTACACTCAAATCATAATTTCACAACACACAAACTCAAAATACAACTCATACTCTCAAATCATATTTACAAAACACAACCAAACACAGAAGGTTTTGGAGATCACAATTTAGAGACAAAATTATTTTTTAGAGACCAAATATTTTGTTATGAAAAGTGTTATTATATTTTTAGCAATTAAAATTAGACATTAGTGATGAATTATTATTTTTTTTGGACCAAATTTTTTGTCTTAAAAAATAAACTATTTGAAACCAAATTATTTTGTCCCTAAAAATCTATTTATTAGTAACATTTTTAAAATTGTCAATAAAAGCCTTGTTTTTGACTTTTCAGGACGACCTTTTAGCGATTATTCTCATGACGATAAAAATTAGTTCCTAAATGTCTTCTACAACAAAATTTTCACTTTTAAAGACCAAAATATTTGATCTCTAAAACTCTTATATGTTGTAGTGATATCAAGAAATATTAGAAATATAAATAATTAAATTCTATTTTTTACACACAAAAAAAAAAAAAAAAAAAAAGGACAAAACTCCAAATTAAAAAATAAGGCAAATTTAGAAGGGGGAAAAAATGGAAGCAAATTTCTCTTCCAATTTAAAAACATGAAGAACACCCCATAATAATTTAGGTTTCAAGAACCTTCAAGCTGTGACCCTAATAAATGAAGTTAATGACAAAGATATCCCCAGTCACCACTTATTACATGAACCAACAATATTACATACTCAATATTCTTATTCATAATTTTATTCAGAAATATCAACAAATGCTTCATATTCATTTCATGAAAAGACCCACAACACACTGATTGAGTCTTGACCACTTTTAACCATTGTAGATAAAATTCTTGATAAAAATTCTGAGCACAAATCTTTTGCCTGCATGAAGAGACAAACCTATCTTCCAATCGACACAGATCATCATACCTCTTCCAATAAACAATTTACATCACTTAGATTTGAAGACCTTTAAAAAAAAAAAAAAAAAAAAAAAAACTGCAATTCTTATTTGAGCTAATCTTGGTGGTTTTAATCCAAAGGGGTTTGGTTGAGTAAAAAGATATTGGATATTATACCAAAGTTCAGGTTCAACTCTTCTGGTGTTAGTCATCTGCGCGACAACATATAAGATTGGTAAGACGAGCCTTCCACACCATACCCAATGATTTTATTCTTTACTGAACTTCAAATCATAATTGTCCCACAGGGTTCCCTTTTCATTCATCATCAGGACTGGAAAGTTGTTTTCATGCACTTCATTGCCAATTTTAGAGCTACAAGTTGAGAGTCCATCATTGTTTTGCGTACCAATCTCTTGTCCATCGTAATAAATTCTTGAATTCTGAACACTACCACCCTTCTTCTCATACTCCATTGTCTTGTTAAAATAGAAGCTGATATTTTCCCATGTCTGTCTACACCTCATCACACTCCAATCATACCCCAAACAAGCCATTCTTGCCACTATCTCCTCCCATAGCCATTCTTTTGAATTCTCACTTTCTTGAAACCTTGGTTCCATACTTGTCCTTAGTTGAATGAAACTTGAGATCTCCGGTTCAAGCCACTCGGTACTTCTGTTAGTGTCATCTTCCATATCTTTGCAATCTTGTATCTCCGGTAAAGAAACTTTTAGTTCTTTCCTTGTAAATTTCTGCAAAACATCCATTAATGCGGTGTCTCGAGCTTCGATCCATGCTCTCTCATTAGCCCAAAATTTATATTCTTGATCCAACCGAGCCTTGTTTTCTTTCCTCCATTCTTCCTCTCTGATCATACTCTCCTCTTCTTTCTGCTCAATAGTTTTCAACATCTTCTCCATCCAAACCTCCTGTGTGTCCATCAACTTCCTCATCCCTGAGTCTACAAATTCGACCACCTTCGCTTTCCAGCTCTTCTTGACCTTTCTAAAACTTTGGCTCTCATTCGTGTTAGTCTAGCAAAACAATAAACAGAATGTTAATCACAAATATTATGATCAAATTGACTCAAAATAAATAATAAGCATGCACTTTAAGAATTTGTAAAGTCATCAGAGTTTAGAACAATAGCTCGTAAGAATCTAAGAAGCAAGGATCCTTGTTCCTAAATATTTCTGTCCCCCTATCTCAAATCATTCATAGTCATTGGGTCATATGAGAATCTCAAGATTTGAGAATCTCAAAACATATCCAATAGTTGTGAGTAATTTGGACAAAAATATTTAGGAAGGGATCCTTTGGCGAATATAAGAATCATGATGTCATTATCTCATAAATGTTTTTACTCATATCACGAAAGTGTTACACGAATGAAACAATTTCAAAATAAAACTTAGGCTAAGTTTGACATATTGCAAAAAAGTCAAAAAGTCAAAAAATTATTCAAAAAGTTAAAAAGTTATCATTATTCACCAAAAGTCAAAAATTACGGCTACACAACTCCCAATCCTAATTTTTTTCTACACACTAATTTATACAATTTTTTAATACATATTTTTTCATAAAAAGTCAAAAAGTTAACCCCAAACATTCATATTTTTTTTCTCCATTTTTTAGTCTAAAAAGACAAAAAGTACACTTATTTAAGACACTCCAAATAACCTCTTAGTCACAACATGTGTTGATGTAATCTCTCTTCAGTGTTCATAATTACTAAAAGACTCGAACCAACTCAAGAAACAAAATTACTCAAGATTGAAAATATATGAAATATAAGAACTCTCAAATTTTGTTATATGGGAAAATTGTTAGAAAAATAATATCAAATTATATGAAAAATATAATTTAAAATTATGTAAACGATTTTTGGGCAAAATCAAAAACTAAAATAAATCGACATAATAACGTGATAAAACTTACAGTACTTAAATAGATAAAACCTGATCGAGTCGAGTGTGTGACGCTCTTTCCTTAAGACAGATTCATCCTTCCACCGGTGCTTAGGATTCAATGGACGTCTATCTCCCAAGATACAACGATCAATATCTTACACTAGCAACACTACTATTGTAAGCCTAGCGAACTTGGCTATGCATGTACCCTCTTTATAGAAAAATTAAACTCAGGAAATATGAAGAATAAATACAAAGTGAAGAAGAAAATGACAATTCTCTATACAAATTGAAGTGAGGGAGATGGAATTTAGAGACTTCTATGTGACTCTTCAGAGAGGTTGTGACTCTTCAAAAGGACACGCATTTCCATTTCAAAAGACACAACAACTGGAATAAATTTAAATTCAAATTTTCCAACAAAAATCACATTCTATATGAACACTATGAAAAACAAATGTAACACATTTTATCGTGTTTTCTCTTGAAGAATACACTAGTATATATGTAGGAGAATTGTAACAAATGTGATTAATTCTCAATAAATGTACAACAATTACACATTGATTCATATAATAAATAGTAATTATGTACCATATTAAAATTTTAACTGAATTATTAAATAATAACTTTGTTTTTGTTAAAATTCCAAACAATTAGTGCTTACCCTCTTCTCCATAGAACGCTTCAACATCAATGCCATGGCTGAAAGATCATCACCATTGTTTATGGAAGAAGAAGTCTCAAATTCAGATGAATTAGATCGGTTATCGCTCTCGAGTAGCTTCTGGTCCTGCAAATCTTCTTGATTTTCTTGATTGAAAATAAAACTGTTTGTCATTGGGTTTGGATAAACAAGATTGTATTTGGCAAGATGGGTATCTGAAGATTCATTGATGGGTTCTTCACAGAGGGCTTGAAGCTGGCGAAAGAACCTATAGTGCTTGCCATCATGTCTTCCAGCTTTACCTTCCTTAGTCTTCTTATAGTACTTGTACAAGTTCTCAAACTTCTCTCTGCATTTCCTTCCACTTCTCTGGTACCCATGTTCCTCCCACATTATCCTGTAAAGAGAGAGAGAGAGAGAGAGAGTAAAGAAAATAGAAATTGTTGGAGTAATCCAGAATTTTAGTAATTAAGTAAAATGTATTGAATGGTATGAAGTAATGTGTGGGATGATAAAAAAAATATCATAAAATGATCATAAAAGATTTTTCATCCTTAGATTACAAATACAATAAAATACCACACACTAATCAAAGGATGAAAAATTTTCATGAAATATTTCATGATATTTTTTTCATAATCCGTAATACTATTTATGGTATAATATGTAGTAGAGTGTTGGAATTTTAAGAGTCACTTAAGATAGGTTTAAAGTGAGTATAATTATCTTGAATTTCTTGAGTATGAACAGGGGTGATTCAACCATTAAGTTACTTAGACTGTCGCATGAGTCTCATAAAATAGTTTTAAAAAATTCTTATTGTTGGAAGACTCCAATTTTTCAAAAGTTTAATTAGATGGACACTTTATTTTTATGTTTAGTCTAAGACCGATCTCTAAAAATCTTGGACCACTACTAAATATGATAGGGAGATAAATACATTTTGTAGGAGTTTAGATGTATCTATGTCTTCTATATAAAGAGGCTAGTTTATAGAAGAAAAGAAGAATAAGAAACTATAGAAGAAAAGAAGTTTTTAGAGTTCTTGAAAGGTACTAGTGTCTGTTAAGAGCTCTGTACGACCTTAGAAGAGTACAATCTCCACAAATTTTCTGCTTATTAGGTAAACATATTTACATTTATTATGTGAACATGAGTTCTTAAATGGAACAAATCATCCTTATTTTTTCCAACAGAAATAACCTGAAAACTGAAGCTAAAGTATTGACATAAACATATATAAATAACCCTAGATTTTAAGTTTCTCCTCTAACATTTTGCATCATATATATCGGTAGATATAAGATAGTATTAAATAATGTGTTTATTTATCAGCAAAAAAAAAAAAGAAAAAAGGGAGAAATATTTTTAAAGAACAAACAAGATACAAGATACATATCTAGGTTTTGGGCAAAAATGCATTAGTATCAATACAACGCATCCCAACTATGTTGGCATTCAAATCAAGTCCAATCATATGTAAACCCAAAACAAAGAGAGCAGAATTGAAGAGGTTCCAATTCATATCGGGTAATATGTTGGTAAATATCAGTACAGAAATCCAAATTTCTAATTCGTATTGACTGATATGGATATTTGGTCTCTGAATAACATAGAAGGCATGTTGTTTACAAGCACCACAGTGTAAACCCATTGATAATTAAAACACTAATACTTGAATTAATTCAAGTGTTCAATCAAAGATTTGTGAAACATAAACCAAGTAAGGCAGTGAAAGCTAAGTTACCTTCACAACAAAACCAAATAGGGTTCTCAAGATTTTGTAAAATATAAAAGAACCCTAGTGGTCTTCCTTAGTTTTACTCGAGAATCAGCATAGCAAGAAACAAAAAACAATAAAAAAAAATAAAAACAATAGAAGGTTAGACATATCATATACCTAGAGACATCATCCCACAAGGGAGCTTTGAGATTGATCTCTTTGAATTTAGAATCAAGACGAGATCTGATTTCAAGAAGAGTGAGAGTCTCTTGTCTAGGCCATCTACTACTACTACTACTACTTCCACCACCACCATCTCCATTAACGGTCTCCATCTCTAAGCCAAACTGATGAGCATGAGCAGCAGCAGAAAATGAAGGAGGAGGAGGACTAGGACTAGGATTAGGAGTGACAACAACAACACTACTGGTACTAGTACTACCAGTGTTGTTATTAATGTTGTTATGTTGTCCAAATTCATGACCAAACACCTCTCCAGTGCTGTGACAACAACCACCCAATATGAATGGTTCTGAGAGCTGTGGCTGTGGCTGTGGCTGTGGTGGCTGTGGAAAACAGTTCCTTCCGGTTCCGCCCATGATCTGTCTCAGATCAAGGAAGCCATAATTGTTTCTGTTTCTCTCCTCCATTATTAGGTTTTGAAACTGAAATTATTTGCAATAGAGAAGAGGAGATCATATGTGAGTGACTGAATGTGAAAAGAGAGAAAGTTGAGAGAGAGAGAGAGAGAGTTAAAGCTAGGTAGATGGACCTAAAGATTCAAAAATGGAGAAGAGGGGGGCCAACAAGCAGCTGCACAAATTCGAGCTTTTAGTGGACGACAGGATCCGAGTCCACCGCACCTTTCTTTACTCAAAAAGTTTCAAAATACCCATACAATCCTCTCATATAAATTGAACTTTGAGAATTATGTTCAATTTTATAAAAAAAAAAATTATAATAATTATTTTTTATAAATAAAAATATTATAATATTCTTAATAATAGATAAAAACAAATATCTTAAGTTAAATCCAAGCCTAGATACTTAAAATTCATTAGAATTAGGTTTTAAATATCTAGTTTAACTTATATGGTATTTGACTCTATATTTTACTTGAAATATTATAAATATCATTATTATCTAATCTAATTAAAAAATAAAAAATAAAGAAACTAAACATAAGATATAATCTCTTATATAAAGCAAGTCTCATTTTTTTAATAATCTCTTATATAAAACAAGTCTCATTTTTTTTATAAAATTCACATGAGAGAATTGTGGTTGATTTTGTAAATGATTTAACTCTGTTTACATAGTTGGAACTGGGAAGTGAGAGAGAGAGAGAAGAGGTGAGAGAAGAGGAGAGAGAAGGAATGGTTTTGCTCCACCAATAGGTGGCCGACAAATGTTTGAGAGTACAGGATGGGAATTTGGAGATCCAATGTTAGCCAAGGTTTGATTTGATTAGTGCCTAAGATTATAGGAGTATCTTTTTTGAGAGATGTAAATTAACCAAACTGTGGCTTAGCTTGTAAATATACATCATAAACTCGGCTTGTTAAGAAACACATTTCAGCTCGCACACTGGTTAATTGAATTACTATAGAACTTAAATGGTGACATACAAAAAATAAATAAAAATTGTATAGAATTGTTGTACATAATAAAATGATTTATGTATAAATTTCTTGGTGCTTTAACATTTTCCTAATTGTAAACTTGAACCAACTCTATTAGTTCAATTGACTGTATTTTTTAAGGCTTTCTATATGTTAGTTTAATATATATTGTTCGATCCATTTTTTAAGCACGTAGGTTTTGAAATGTCTAACATTAATTATATTAGCACTTTTTGATTTGTATAACTTGTTCTCTTAATCTAATTATCTCTCCACATATAGAATAGACTAGCTTAATTTTTATGAAGATAAAATTAATGATGTATAATGATGATATTTTTTGCTAAGGGCATAAACATCAGAACTCCCTATTTCTAAGCAATACAAAACTAGTGATTGCTAACAAAAAAAGAAACATAAAGTACTGTAAAGTAGTGATTAAGATATTAGGGTTGAATACATTGTGACAAGTCTCTAGAAACCCATCTTTTACCCTACAATTGGAAAAGGTTTTACCAAATGTATTGTCAACATTAAAGTGAGAAGACATAAAAGGATACCTTTTGACACAAACTGTATTCTTTAACCAATGAAAAATAACATTTTATTTGTCTTATTTAAGATATGTCATAAAGTCTATTTCTACATTTGTCATGCTAAAAGTCCTAGATTTTAACATAAGAATTAGTTGTTAAAATAACATCATATTCAAGTTTGGTTTTAAAAACTCACATATATATATATATATATTCTATAAATCATGTTTAAACAATTCAATACCTAGCTTAAATAATTATGATAAGGAGTAGTTGTATTATACTACTGTGCTGTGCATCACATGTGATTGTATATCTGGATTAGTTACAGAGATAATAGATGGTTAGGCTGTTATATTAGTTAGGCAGTTACATAGTTTGTTATATAGATATAGATGTATACATATGGTAGCTAGTATATATATAAAGCTCATCATGTAACTGATTAATAACAATTAATGAATAAATTCTGAACTCTCAAGTTCTTCATGGTATCAGAGCCCTGTTAAGCTCCACCGAGCAATCCATGGGTTCCTCTACAGAATCTTTATCTTCTTCTTCTTCCATTCCATCAAATCTCAACATGCTGATTTCAAATCTAAGCTCTCTTATTACCGTAAAGCTTGATAGCACGAATTTTATCATCTGGAAAAACCAGATGCAAAATATTCTTCATGCAACAGATTTGTTGAAGTTTGTCGATGGTTCGTTTCCATGTCCTGTTGATCATATTCGTAGTTCTTCAGCAACAGAGGTCAGCAATCCAGATGCGATTCGATGGCGGATGATTGATGCACATCTCTTGAGTTGCATCACCGCTACGCTTTCACCTGCAATTTTTACAACAGTTCTTCACCTCCGGTCCAGTTCTGCGGTGTGGACTGCACTTGACAAACGTTTCACGAATCTTTCTCGCTCACACATTCATCAACTGAAGAACAGATTGAATTCTGTTTCAAAAGGCTCCGATTCGATGGAAATCTATCTGAACAACATCAAATCTATTGTTGATCAACTCAGTATTGCCTCTTCCTTTATTGATGATGAGGATATCGTTCTTATCACCTTGAACGGCTTACCGACTGAGTATGATTCTCTCAAGACAGCCATCCGAGCGAGACCTGAAAGCATATCTATGGAAGATCTCTCTTCTTTGCTCTGCTCAGAAGCTCTTCATGTTGAAGGCAAATTACAACACAACTCCGATCTTCATTTTGCTCATGCAACACAGCGAGATTCCAATGCCAATGCTTCCAAAGGTTATGTTTCGTATCATAATAATCGTGGCTCTTCTCGTGGTGATTCTCGCGGTACTTTTCATGCGAATCGATTCAGTTCTAATCGATACTCTTCTTTTCGAGGAGGTCGTTCTCAAAATCGCCCCAGATCTTCTTCTGGAACCATTTGCCAGATTTGTGGAAAAGCCAATCACTCTGCTTCCGAGTGTTGGCATCGACTTGATCTTCAATATCAGCCCCAGTCACATCCGTCTCACCAATCACCTACTGCTTCTTCATCTGGTGCTTCTATGCCTCATCACTCCAAGGCCTTTCTCACCAACATCCCTGATGATACTGTCTCCCATGCTTCTAGTCCTTGGTTCTTGGACTCTGCTGCTTCTGACCATGTCACAAATGACCTTCATCATCTGAATTCTTATCAGTCCTATACTGGTTCCGATCAAGTTACCATTGGCAACGGAACTTCCCTTCCTATCCATCACACTGGCAAAGGTATTCTACCCACCCCACACCACTCCTTTAAGCTTGCCAACGTTCTTCATGTTCCTTCCATAAAGTCCAATTTGCTCTCTGTTCAACAGTTAGCCAAAGACAATGATTGCTTCATAATTTTTGATAAATCTACTTTTTCCATCCAGGACAATCATTCTAAAGCAATTCTTCACAAAGGTTTTCATGCTAATGGCCTCTACCATTTTCCTGTGGGTTCTTGCCCTTCTCCACATGCTTTTGCTGCCTCATCAACATCTCCTTCCACTGCGGCTATATGGCACAAACGGCTTGGCCATCCTTCATTTGCAAAATTTCAATTACTCAAATCTCAATTGTCATTGTCTCATTCTTTCAATAAAACTGATTTGTCTTGTGTTGAGTGTTCCATTTCTAAATGTCATAGACTTCCCTTTGTGCTTTCTAATTCCAAAACTGATGTTCCCTTGGCTTTAATTCACACTGATGTTTGGGGACCGTTTACTTGTTCCTCTAGTGCTTATCGCTATTATGTGTTGTTTGTTGATGATCATAGTCGTTTTACATGGATTTATCCTCTTGTCTATAAAAGCGAAGTCTTTTCTAAATTCATGATGTTTAAAGCATTTGTGGAAAAACAATTTGGCTTTCCTCTTAAAATACTTCGCTCTGATGGGGGTGGTGAATTTATCAATACTCAACTGCAAGATTTTTTGACTTCTCATGGTATTCTTCATCAATTTTCTTGCCCACACACTCCCTCTCAAAATGGAGTTGCGGAGAGGAAACATTTACACATTACCGAAACCGCCATCGCCCTCTTACATCAATCTTCTTTACCTCTCTCCTATTGGTTTGACGCTATTGCTACAGCCACCTATCTCATTAATCGGCTTCCTAGTGCCTCTCTCTCTAACTGTTCTCCTTTTGAACTCCTGTTCCACACTAAACCTGATTACTCTCATCTTAAAGTGTTTGGTTGCTTGTGCTTCCCTTGGCTTAAGCCTTATGCCTCTCATAAATTGGCCCCTAAATCTGCGTCTTGTGTTTTTCTGGGTTATCACCCTTCTGTCAAAGGCTACCGCTGCCTCAATCCTCTGACTGGTAAAGTCTTGCTCTCTCGCCATGTCACCTTTCATGAGTCCACTTTTCCCTTTTCCTCTCTTTCTTCTGTCCCACCCTCTCCTCTCCCTACTTTACAATCCTTCTTTTGGTCTTCCCCACCTAAGCCTACCTCTGTCCCATCCTCATCCCTTATATCTCTGCAGCCTTCTTCGAATCCTTGCTTGCAGCCCTAGAATCAGACTTGCTCGTCCCACAGTTACCCTCCCTCACAGTCCCCACTACTACAGCCTCTGTTGCCAACAGAGCCACAGTTGCAGCCACAGCCTCTGCTGCTGCAACTTGCTCCTTCACCACAGTCTATTCTTATTGATTCTCTTGCTGTGGTGCTCCCTCTTCCTCCTCCACCTTCCACTACTAATACTCATTCCATGACAACCAGGTCCAAGTCCAAACCTCTGGCCCATCTCTCTTCCCTTTCTTCTCTTGATCAGTCTGAACCTTCTTCCTACACTGCTGCTCTTACCTCTCCACCCTGGTTCAAGGCCATGCTGGCTGAATATGATGCTCTTCAAAAACAGGGCACATGGTCTCTTGTTCCTCTTCCTTCTTCCAAGCAAGCCGTTGGGTGTAAATGGGTCTTCCGCCTCAAACGCAATTCCGACGGGACTATTGCTCGCCACAAAGCTCGGCTAGTGGCCAAGGGTTTTCTTCAACAATTTGGTATCGATTTTCTGGACACTTTTAGTCCCGTTGCCAAACAACCTACCATTCGCATTCTTCTTTGTTTAGCTCTTCATCACAGTTGGCCCATCAAACAGTTGGATATTAGTAATGCCTTTCTTCATGGTCACCTTCAAGAGGAGGTTTACATGGAACAACCTCCTGGCTTTATTGATCCTACCAAACCTTCCTTGGTGTGTCATCTTCACAAAGCTCTCTACGTTTTGAAACAAGCCCCTAGGGCTTGGTTCTCCACATTCTTAACTTTTTTCTTCTCTCAAGGGTTTATCCAAAGCAAATGTGATTCCTCCTTGTTTGTTCATAAAACCCCTTCTTCTCTTACCTACCTTTTAATATATGTTGATGACATCCTCCTCACTGGTTCCAATGAGTCTTGCATTCAATCTCTCTTGACTGCCATGCATCAAACTTTTTCCATGAAGGACTTGGGCTCTCTATGCTATTTTCTGGGTATTTCAGTCCACTCCTCACCTTCTGGGTCTTTCCTCTCCCAAACCAAATATGCTGCAGACTTATTAGCTAAGGCCGGCATGGTTGACTGTAAACCTTGTGCCACTCCCGTCTCTATGAAACCTCCTATTTCCTCTGATGCCTCTCTTCCTTGTCCTAACTCCTCTCTTTATAGGAGTCTTGTGGGTGCTTTACAATATCTCACCATCACCCGACCTGAGCTCTCTTACGCTGTCAATCAGGCCTGTCAACACATGCATTCTCCTACCATTGCTCACTTTTCCGCTGTCAAGCGGATCTTGCGCTATGTTAAGGGAACTCTTCATTTTGGTCTTCAGTTCCATCCCAGTAAGCTCCATTTGACTGCTTATAGTGACTCCAATTGGGCCGGGGACTCCACTGACCGCCGCTCTACTTCTGGTTACTGTGTCTATTTGGGTGCCAATCTCATCTCTTGGTCCTCCAAAAAGCAAGCCACTGTTTCCCGTTCCTCCACAGAAGCTGAATACCGCAGTCTTGCTCACACTGCTGCCGAGCTCTCCTGGTTACAAATGCTCCTCACTGAGTTCTCCATTTCTCCATCATCTCCTCCTACGTTATGGTGTGATAATCTCTCATCCATGTCCTTGGCTACCAATCCTGTCTTCCATAGTCGCTCCAAGCATATTGAGGTCGACTGCCACTTTGTCCGCGAACGGGTTGCTGCCAACAAACTTCTCCTCAAATATGTTCCTCCTTCTGCAATATTTTTCCATTCAAACTAACAGGGGTAAGATAATTTTTTGACCTTTTTTAACTATTTTTATTTTTCAAATTATGTAATATTTCCTATATTCAGTGTATGTTGTAGTGATGTCCGTATTTATGCGTATATGTGTCTATATATACACTTATATGATAAGGAGTAGTTGTATTATACTACTGTGCTGTGCATCACATGTGATTGTATATCTGGATTAGTTACAGAGATAATAGATGGTTAGGCTGTTATATTAGTTAGGCAGTTACATAGTTTGTTATATAGATATAGATGTATACATATGGTAGCTAGTATATATATAAAGCTCATCATGTAACTGATTAATAACAATTAATGAATAAATTCTGAACTCTCAAGTTCTTCAAATTAGTCCATATTGGCCTCTCTCTCTCTACTCAATACCTAGCTAGCTTTTAGACTTATTTATAGTCCATAAACACTGGCCTAATTTCCTCTCAATCAGCCTAAAAGTGGAGACTTTCCCTTTCCTTGGGTGCATATGGAAAAGAATTATTACGAGTAATGCATGTAGTTTAATTACCACCTTGTACTTATTAACTACTGGTGGGTTGAGATTGGCTAACATTGACCATAGTTTGCACAAGATCATGCAAACAATTCTTCTCTCCCTCTATCTTGGGTTTTACTTTTCCATGGTATGAAGGCCGCACCAAGCATTGGTTTTCATCCAACCATCCATTTTTATTTGTCATTGTCTAGTTGAAGTTGTTGTGCACCGTTCAAAATATTTTTGATGTAAAAAATTAAATCAATCGAATATTTAATATTTAAAAAAAAAATTGACTATTGATAGTTAATCAATGTGTTTTTTATATAGATACAGTATTTACTTCACAAATACTAAAAATTGAATGATTTTAAATCACTAAGGTGAGGAAAAGGTTGCTGAATTTAACCCTAGTGCATGACTGCATCACTGGTCAGGTCATCCAAAGCTTTTTTTTGGTACCTCAACTGAGACCAGATGTTGTTCTTTATGTGTCAAAGCCAAGCCAAGCCAAGCCAAGCTCAGCCCAGGGCCAGCCAAAGATGGTAAAGCAAGGATAACCCAATTGGATGGGGAAGATTTAAAAAAATAAAAACAAAAAAAAGTGAGGTGTATGCAAATTAGGAAAGGTGGGTCCCAATCTTTTGACAGCCTAACCCTTGTCATTATACTACCATATCATATCATGTGACCTATATATATGGTTTTGATTGTTGGGGTCTTGAGTGGATTGAAACAAAAGGGTGATTAAACATGAGTCATTAGGAGATACCAAAAATATAATAATTGAGACAAATGTATTTGAAATTAATATTGATGCATGAGAGATTCACCCAATTCACTTTATTGGCTTAGTTTATATTACATATAATTTGAATTTTTAAAAAATATTTTTCTTAATTCACACTATTCTAAGGTCTTATCTTTTACAAAAATTAATATGAATCACACATTACATTTACAAGTACTTTTCTAGTTATGAATTTTATATACACATCTTAAGGGAAATTTTAATGTACTCCACTTTATAAATTTCATATCATATGCACCTATATATAGTTATGTAATTTTCTTCTTTAATTATGACTAATTTTCTTCTTTAGTTATAACATTGTTTTAATTATGACTCATGAGTTCTTTAATTATGACACATGAGTCCTTTAGTTATATCTCATGTTGTGTTTAATTAAGATTTTTTTTTTTTTTTTTTTTGAGTTATAACTTAGAAAATTAAAATTATGTTATTTTTCATTTTAGTTATAATGTGCATATGGTGCACGGTATTTCCCACATCTTTATTGATTCTCGTATGGAGAATAACTAATTTTGCCACTAAAGTAATATTAATATATACGCCTGAACCACTAGTTATAGTAATGTTATATTAATTTTTCTTAATTTTATTATATTTATAATTTTAACATATTCATTAAATTATATACATTTATTAATTGAATATTTTAATACTTATTTGTTACGTGAAACTCTAAAAATGATTGTTTTTGAACTTCTATTATATTTAAATGAATTATAATTAATATTTGTATGGTGTTTTTCTTATTTTGTTTTTGTTGTTTATGTGAAAAATAATTTTTTTTCTTCTACCCAAGAAAAACAAAGCTGTTATGTATTAGTAGTTTAATAGAACACATACATAAGACCGCATAGCGCAGTGGATTAGCGCGTTTGACTTCGGATCAAAAGGTCGTGGGTTCGACTCCCACTGTGGTCGCATTTTATTTAACACTCCGTTTTCGTACTTTTACAAAAAGTTTATGTTGCGCCCTTTTGAAAAAAGTAGTCAATCCAAACAGTTCCTAATCTCGGTAACGATCTGTTTGGATGCTGCGTTTTTCTTACAAATAGTCTGCTTTTGCTCCCTTTTCCAAAAAGTTATCAATCCAAACAGTTCCTAATTGCGCGTCTGTTTTTGCTCCCTTTTCCAAAAAGTTATCAATCCAAACAGTTCTTAATTGCGCGAATGAACTGTGTTTCGTTTTGGTTTTGAATGTAACTGAGATATGCAGAGGCAAGTCGTGAACACGACGTTTAATGAATCGTGGTCTCTTTCGCTGCTATCGCTCTCTCTCCACTCGCGCTCTGCCAATTCAAGAGACCCCACAATTCAAGCTTTTTCAATCCAACAAGAGGATTCAAGAGCTTGGGAGGCTCGGCCGAGTCGATGAAGCCCGCAAACTGTTTGATGATATGATTCAGAGAGACTCTGTAGCTTGGAACACTATGATTTCTGGGTACTCTCAAAATGGCCGATTGGAGGAGGCTCGAGCGCTCTTTGACTCGTTTGCAGGCAAGAATGTGAGGACTTGGACTTCAATGTTAACTGGGTATTCCAAATATGGCCGAATTGAGGAGGCTCGTTGGGTGTTTGAGTCTATGCCTGAGCGAAACATTGTTTCTTGGAACGCTATGGTTAGTGGGTATGTCCAAAATGGTGATTTGTGCAATGCTCGTAGGTTGTTTGATCAGATGGGGGAGAGAAATATTGTGTCTTGGAATTCAATTATTACTGGGTATTGTCATTGTTGTCGAATGAGGGAAGCTCGAGAGTTGTTTGATCAAATGCCTGAAAGAAATTCAGTTTCTTGGATGGTTATGATTTCTGGGTATGTTCAGATTAATGATTTTAAAGAAGCTTGGGATGTGTTTGTGAGGATGCATAGAAGTGAGGTTAGGCCTGACCAGTCAATCTTTGTTGTAGCATTTTCAGCGATTACGGGTTTAAATGATTTTGAATTGATTGGGAGTTTAAGGACACTTGCCATGAAGATGGGTCTTGAGAGTGATGTGGTTGTTGGCACAGGAATCTTAAATGCGTATACTAGAAGTGGGTGTTTGGAGGTTGCTATGAATTTTTTTGAATCGATGGCAGAAAGGAATGAATTTACTTGGACCAGCATGATTGCAGCCTTTTCGCAGTGCGGCAGATTTGGTGACGCAATCGCATTGTCTAGAAGGGTTCCCGAGAAGAGTGTGTCTACACAGACTGCAACTATGACTGCATATGCCCAGAATGGGAGAATTGGACAAGCAAAACAAATATTTGATGAGATACCAAACCCTAATGTTGTTGCATGGAATGCTATGCTTGCTGGGTATGCCCAAAATGGAATGCTTGAAGAAGCAAACAACTTGTTTTTGCGAATGCCTAGTACGAATTCTGCTTCTTGGGCAGCCATGATTGCGGGGCTTGTGCAAAACGGACAAAGTAAGGAAGCTGTAGAACTGTTAGCTGAGCTCCATAGATCAGGAGCTGTTCCAAGTCATTCCAGTTTCACGAGTGCTCTCTCCGCGTGTGCCAACATTGGAGCCATTGAGATGGGTCGACAAATACACAGTCTCTCCATTAAAAGTGGATGTCAATTTAATTCATATGTTGGAAATGGGTTGATATCCATGTATGCCAAGTGCAAGAGCATAGAAGATGTTTCTCAGATGTTCTGTAGAATGAGACACAGAGATATTGTCTCTTGGAACTCCCTCATCACTGGCCTTTCAGAGAATCACATGTTGGATGATGCTCGTAATACTTTTGAGAAGATGCCTAAGCGGGATGTTGTGTCTTGGACTGCCATTATATCAGCTTATGTCCAAGCCCGTAATGGAGAAGTGGCTTTGCAATTGTTCCTTGACATGTTAGCCCATGGAATAAATCCAAATGAACTGACAGTTACTAGCCTCCTAAGTACCTGCGGGAGCCTAGGTGCTACTAAGCTTGGTGAACAAATACATGCCTTGATATATAAATTTGGATTCAATTCATATGTCTGTGTTGGTAATTCTCTGGTAACAATGTACTTCAAGTGTGGGTGTGAGGATGGATTTTCACTATTTGAGGAGATGGGTGAACAAGACATCGTTACATGGAATGCAATTCTAGCTGGCTGTGCACAAAATGGATTTGGGGACAAGGCTATCAAGATTTTTGAAAAAATGAAGACCAACGGTGTAGTTCCTGATCAAATTAGTTTTCTTGGGATTTTGTCTGCTTGTAGCCATTCAGGGTTGGTAGATGAAGGATTGGGGTATTTCAATTCAATGAGCCAAGATCATGATATTTTGCCATTAGTTCATCACTATACTTGTATGGTTGATCTTCTTGGGTGGGCTGGACGGCTCTCTGAAGCAGAGTCTCTTATTGAGAACATGCCCATAGAGGCAGATTTGGTGATATGGGAAGCTCTTCTTGCTGCTTGTAGATTCCATCGTAATATCAAACTGGGGCAAAAAGTTGCAGAAAGGCTCGTTCAAATGGGTACACAGAAATCTGGGCCTTATGTCTTATTATCAAATTTATATGCTTCTCATGGCATGCAGGACAAAGTAAGGGAAATACAGAAATCAATGGTTGATCGAGGAGTGAGTAGAGAACAAGGATTGAGCTGGATTCAGATCAAGAGTAAGCTTCACTATTTCCTCACAGGGGATAAGACACATAATCAGATTAAAAATATTTACTCGGTGTTAATGGAATTTTATGGGCACTTTCAAGCAACGGGTTATGTCCCAGACACAGACTTTGTTCTGCATGATGTGGAGGAGAAGCAAAAGCAAAATGAGCTTCTCTACCACAGCGAAAAGCTTGCTGTTATCCTCGGGATCTTGAGCACACCTAATGGATCACCTATTCGGATTTTGAAGAACTTGAGGATTTGCTGCGACTGTCACAATTTTATGAAATATTTGTCCAAGGTTACTGGGAGGAAGATTGTCATTCAAGATGGAAATAGATTCCACCACTTTCTTGATGGTTCATGTTCATGTAGGGATTATTGGTGATGCAGTCATCATTTTGAGATGGTTCAAACTCAGTGGGATGGCTTTAAAATATGAGCAGTAATCCTCAATTTCAACTAAATGGATCAGAAATTTTATTTCTGAGTTTGAAGGTGGAAAGATTTTCCCACTGGCAGCTCATTGAATTCAACACTGATGGTGGTGCATCGGTCTGGAAATGATTGGAGACATGAATTTGGACAATAGAAGAAAAGTTTTGATGAATTGTGTATTTTTGCTGACGTATATTGACATATCTTGTTGTAATAAAAATTACAGCAAGCAAACTCATTACAGGAAACCATGACAGAAGAATCGGACTTGAAAATGTTTGATGTGGAATGGATTATAACATCTACACGAGTGAGCAGATTATAAAGGGATATATATTTACCCAAAATTGTTAATGAAGCATTCGTATCGATTAAACAAGACAATGTAGGCACGAAATTGTTAGTAGGAGCCTTGTGTAGTTTAGGGGCATAATGTCATGTTCTTTGCAAAAATTGTATCTTAACTCAATACACACAAGAAAATAATTTATTTTCACTTTGGGTTTTTTTCCCTTTCCTAGCCCCTTCTGAACCTCTCTCCCCACCCTCATCCCTCCCCCTTCCCCCTTTCTCACATCAATTTAGAAAATAAATTTAAAAACAATTTGTTGAAGGTGTGTTTGGTTTTAAGTTTTCAAAAATATTTTGAATTTTTTAGTTTTTTATTGTTTGGCATTTTGTTGTCTTGTCTGTAGTGATTTTTTTTTATATATTTTAAATTATTATTTTTTAAATACACCTAATCTAAATGTATTTAAAAAGTTAAATATTTATTAAAAAAATTAAAAATTCAATAAATATAAAAATATATATAAATGAAAATATACTCCAAATTTTGTATATTGTTATATTAACAAATTATACTTTTACATGTATATGTATTGAGTATTTTTCCTCAAAAAATTACTTTATTATTTATATTTTCATTTAGAATCTGTCACTTCAACAAGTATCGATTAGGGTTTAGAATTTAAAATTTTATCTAAAAAAATAATTCAAGTGTGAGTTAAAATTGTAATTAAAAAAATAGAGTGACAGTGTGTATTGATGAGTGTTTTGGGAAGATAGATAAAAATTAATTTTTTAACTTTTTTGATTTTTTTTATTGTTTTATGTGAGAGGTGAGGTGACCCAAAATGAATTAAAAGTTGACTTTTGACTTATTTAGTATCGCCAAAACACCTGAGAGTAGTGGAGGGGTGTAAATAGAATTTCCCTTTTTCTAGATTGGTGCTTTGTGCACCTTTCTTCGCTTTGGTTTTATCTTCTCGGAAGCAAGATTTTGAAAAGTGGTTGTGGTCACCGTAATGATTGCGGTGACGGTTGCAGGGTGTAAAGGTTGTAGCTCAATGATTACGGTAACCAGAATCATGATTTTTTTTAATTTTTTGCACAATTTGAAGAAAACTTACCGATACACATATTTTTTTTTTTAGAATCACATTTATTGGAGTTTAAAATAAATTTTGATCAATTTTTGTTAATTTTTAAGTATGATCCAATATATTTTATATTTTTAAATCACTATAAAATGAGTTTTTTACATTTTATTTCAATAATTAATGATTTTAAGAATAATTGATTCTAAATGTTTACAAATTATTTTTTACCAATACCTAAACTAACTAAATAAAAAATATTTACAATTATTAAATGAAAGGATTATAAAATAAAAATTGTGCCATAAATAAATTAAAAAAAAATTCATATAAGATTTTTTCTTTGGGTTTTGATCACTTGAGTATTTGTTCTTTTTTTGTATGTTTTTTTTTTTTCTTAAGAACATGAAGTTATTCAGAATATTATAAAGGGTGTAACGGTGTCTAACGAACTGCTACGGCCATTACGTAATATCGAAACAGTCGTTACACATGTAAATTTCTGTCACACCGCTATAGCAGCCGTAACGGATGACGGTAAGCACCACAACCGTTACATAACGGTTGCTACCGTTTTTTAAAACTTTGCTCGGAAGGAACCCATTTTTTCTCGAAAAACATGTTAGGGTTCTCTCCTGCTACTTCCATACAATTCCATTATTACCAACCCCCCATCAATACCTAAACCCAAATCCCTCCATCTTCAACCCTTAAATCCCAATTTCAAAAAAATCCTAGAAAATCCAGAAAAATTGTCCTGAGGAGGAGGAGGAGGAGGAGGACGAAAATGATAGTGATGACAACAACAACAAAAAGGTAAAAAAAAAAGAAGAAGAAGATGAACGTTGGTGATAAGTAGGAGGAGGATGTGAGGAAGAGGAGGAATGGATGGCTAGCGTTTAATTTGAGATGGGAAGGGAGATCTATTGTTGGACCCAGATCCTAATAACATTTTGGCCGATGGATTGACGAGGCTACTGGCATGGGCAAGCGTGCAAGTGTTGTGGCATGGCAATCGTTCTTTATATCAGTGGCTATAATATAACAAAAATGTTAGAGACTTAAAAGTTTTGCCAAATATCTCGCATGGGTGTGGGACTTATATGGAACCCACATAGTGTGGGACTCACATAGGACCTATATGGTGTGGGTCCCATATCCATATGAGACATTTAATAAAAATTTTGATAAAACTTTTAGGATCTCTAATATTACCCATTAATATATAATTGTTGCAGCTCTCAAATATTCATTTATTGTTGCTCTTAGGGATGTAATCAGTTCGGTACGGTCGGTATTAAGGTAAAAAATTACACCGAACCGATAATGTCGGTTTGATTATTTTGAATGCTAATACAGACTGTTTCTCTCATCAAACCGCACCGAACCGAACGGTTTAGTTTGGTGCGGTTTAATCAGTTTAAGATTTTTCAAACTTAAACCATTTTTAAATATAATTATTAATCAATATAAAAATATTAAATTAGTTATTTGTCCACCATTTTAAACATATCCAATCTATCCATTTAATATATACTTTTCAATTCCTAAATTAACAAAAATAAAAACAAAAAAAAAGTTTAAAAATATCAAGGTTTCAAGAATAATGAGTTAGAGTTAAGATTATATATAATAAAAATTTACCAACTGTGGTTATGAAGATGATAAAATTAATTAATTAAGGTTAATAATTTATTATACTTATTAGAAATCATTATATTAATAGATTATATATATATATTATAAATACAATATATGTTGAAGCGATCGGTTTTGGTTTAGATCGGTGCATAAGGTGCTTAAACAGATACCGAACCGAAACCGAAAAAATTCAAATTTAAAAACTGCACAGACCAATTCTTGTTAAAAAACAGACCAAATATAGCCGGTTTGGTCCGGTTCAATTGGTTTTGTCGGTTTTTTCAATTTTTCTTACATCCATGGCTGCTTTTCTCCTTTTCATCCTCATTACCCTCCCTCCTTCGACTCTCTCTCTCTCTCTAAATTTGTTTTTGTGTTCCAGATTGTAAAAGGTCAGAAATTAAACCCCAAATTAAGTATGGGCCTAAGTGGTGAGGTCACCCTCCTGAGATGACTGGAAATGGAAAAAAAAGCATGGGCCAAAGCCCAAGGGAAGTGGGCCAATAGTAAGTCGAAGTAGGTCTAACCCGCCAAGGGTCCAAATGGACTCCACAAAGGAAAATGCCTAAGTCAAGTTGCAGAGGTAACACATGCAACAGTCAAGTTGTAAAGGCAACACATACAACGGTCAAGCTACAGAGGGAACACTTGCGGCGGTCAAGTTGTTGAGGGACTTTACCTCAGCACCGCCATTCTCCAATAATGTCGGTTCAATCGAAGCAATTAAGTTGCAGAGGTGACACTTGCGACGGCCAAGTTGTGAAGGTACTTTGTCTCAGCGCCGCCATTCTAAGTATTGTCGGTTCCGCCGCCATCTGGAGTTACTGAGGGAAGGAGATAACTGAAACAACTAAGTTATAGAGGCATTACTTGCAGCGCCCAAGTTACAGAGGCACTTTGTCGGCGCCGCCATCTCCAATATTGTCAGCTTTTCCATTTGAACTTGCTACGGGAAATGACTGCCGCAACAACTACAGCCGCCGCAACCAACTTGCAAAGGAAACATCCCGCCAAGGTGAAAGCAGTCTTTGGAAAAAGCTTCCCCTCTGCAAGTAGAGGCTAATGCTTGGCGCTGATAGCAAGCCCCAAGGCATTACTAGCCCAAGGCTGATAACAGGCCCCAAAGTTCATTCACTTGGCACTGATAGCAGGTCTCAAGACTTACTGGTTGGAGTTGATAGCAGGCCTAGAGATATCAGTTTACTGCGACAGCCCCGCAAAGATGGGAGCAGTGCAGCCCAAGCGCAAGGGACTCCCTTTCCATTTACCTAGGTCATGAACCTACCTTAGTAGCGTAGGCAAGACTAAGGAAACCCCCTTGGACTTGGTAGTAAGACACAGCATGGCTGATAGCAGGCTTAGCTGTGGCCTTCACCTTGGAAAACTGGGGAGTTTGTGGTTAGGTGGCTAAGGGTGAAGGCTTCGCTGAGGTGAGCATGAACATAGTCGATAGCAGACTAATGGAGTCCTGAGAATGCATGCACTGGCCAAGTAAAACTAAGAAGGCAAGTGCAGCAGCAAGGTTTACCGTTGTAAGTGCACTTGTTGAGATTCGAGCTGAAAAGGCAAATGCAGCGGCAAACACTTTCGCTGTAACTGCACTTGCTGAGGCTCAAAAGGGAGTTATAGCGCCAAACACTCCCGTCACAACTATACTTACTGAGGCTCAAAAAAAGTAGTTGCAAAGGCAAACTGTTAGTACACAGTACATGCAGAGGGATACGTGACACCTTCAGTTTGGTGGCTCAAGGCAGAATATTCCATGTGATCCTCTAGGACACATGTCCTCTCTCTATTTGGCCACTTGGTGTCCTCTTGGTACCAAGGAAAAGCCTATAAATAGGACCCATTTCCCAAGTTTCAAGAGGAGGAATTTTGAAAATTTGGGAGAGATACTGCCCATTTGTGCACTGCCATACATTTCTCCTTGAGCTACTTGATTCACCCTCACCCAGCTACACACTCTCCAACTCCCAAACAGTTGTTGCCGCTCATTCTCCAGTCATTCCACCATTATTGGATCATTATCATAGTTTTGCCTCTCTAATCATCTTCCTAACCTTGAACCCCCTTACACAGATGTTACCTTAGTTTTCATTGTTAGGATCAATCAAGATTAGAAGCTTTGGTAATTTTTATAGGAAAAAAAAATTATTAATATAATTCTCAAATTAGTTCATGTAAGCCTATCTCCATCTATTTCCCAATTTAGAGGTTGTTTGGGGTGTCCTAAATAAGTGCACTTTTTAACTTGTTGGACTAAAAAGTGAAGGAAAAAAATATGGTTGTTTGGGATAACTTTTTGACTTTTTACGAAAAAATGTGTAATATAATATTATTACAAAAGCTAAAATGACTA